AAAAAAAAAAAAAGACTACCTTCTTCACCCGAATACAACGCCCGGTCATTACAGCCGAATGTGGTGCACTTTCAAGTCCAGATCGTTCTATTGGGGTGAAGACGGTAGGAACAAAATGATCACACAAAAGGAAAAGAACCGAGAGACTAGAGATGCCAGACTCATGATAAATGCAGAAAAAGCATAAAAGTAGGGAAGAGCACGGAGGTAGTGGTAGTGGTTACGGTGTTATCTTACAAGCCAATGAATAGCTGATCCCCGTTGGTGGCTTCATACAAATCAATAGAGACGGAGCCGATCATTCTGATTAAAATTTAAAAGCAATTCAAATAAATTTAGTGCTCTCTCCCCAAACTGATTGTTGTTATTGAATAAATACATTTTAAATCTTATTCATATATATTACCATACAAAACTATACCCAAAAAAGTATCTCAGTGATTCTCATGGGTGTCACACCGGTTTCCGATCGTTCCTCCGTCCACCCACAACACGAGACCCTGTGGCCTCATGAGCCTGTGTTCATCCGAGCCCCTCAGAGTCTCCCACATGAGCTCGAGATATGCACACGTCGCCACAAGGCTATGGCTAGGCTCGGTGTCATAGCGGAACCAGCCGACGTTCATACTCAGCTTGACTCGAACTTGACAAATTCGTCTCTTCGACCCTCAAAGTAACACTACCGTCTTCCCCCGAACATAACGCACCCTAACATTGAATGTATACAAGCTATATTTCCGGCCAGATACCGCCAAAATAAGGGTGCGTTGTGTTCGGGGGAAGACCGTAGCTCCAGAGAGACAACCGTCTCTCGTTGATCACAAGCACAAACTCTGTCCATACTCTGCTTTACTCTGACCACCGGACCAAAATGAAGACTATCATATATTAATTTAATCATTATGATCATTAACATGAGGGTATGTGGAAATGTTATTATGTTAGCTGCGTGTGGTGACACCTTGTCTGCGCCGCTATAGCTGCGACTTTTTTCGATCTGCCTTCGATGCGCTTCAATTTTTATCAAGTCTACGACCTTGACCACCTCTTGTCTATGGTGTCTCTCCCACCTATTCTGTTTGACGTCGCGTCGATGCATGGAGTCCCGTGTTGGTTTGTAATGCCTCTGGTTGACCATTCGCAACATTATGCTAGGATGGAGGCCGGAAGATGCAACAGCCTGATGATACCCTCGTGCGAGGAATCTGGAGAGCTAACGAAGAAGAAGACTTCAACGCTCTGCGGCGGTGATGAGAGCAAGAGGCACTAAGTTCACTAACTGCAACCAATGTCCTATCTACACAGCAACCTGTTTCGACATGCATTTTTAGCCCTGTAATTCTACATCATGGGCCCTGTCCGGGCCTGCCATCAACCAAGCAGAAAATTGTGCACACATTGAACGTAGATAGTCACATCTTCAGTTCCTTTTGTACTCTGTTTGGACCTCCTGGGTAGAAGGTGTTTCAATTTGAAGGTGTCCTTCGTCAACCGCTCCCCTCTCGGAAACCCTTGCTGATTTGCTCCTCGGAAACTCTTGCTGATTTGCTCCTGGGTAGAACCGTAGAAGGTGTTTGATGGTGAAAGCAAAGGCAACTGCGTCGCAGTCACAGCACACTCACTTATGCAGAAAGCATAGAGAAAAAACAACGCTGCAAAAGGAATCAACATCTTAAGAGAAATGTTTCAACATGCCAGGAACATGGTTTGTGGTTCTTTCCCCCCCCATCATCCTCCAATCTGTTGGTTTCCCCCCCCCCATCTGATTTGTTCCTATCTCTTCCCTCTAGCCTCTGTCACCTTGGGTTTTGCCTCCTCTGTTGAATGCCAGGGATTAAGTCTTAGAGGACATGGTTAGCATAGTCAGTGTGAACGCTAGGCGATTGGCAGCATCCCGATACTGCATAATCTTACTGAAAAACCCTATTAGCTTGTCACCCTTGATTTATCCGGATTTACAGGCCGGATAATATTGGCCGGATAAAACCGGATGAACTGTAGGGTACCTTTCCAAGAAAACAAAACATCTCAAAAAAATCTGAAAAACAAGTATGTTGTAGATTATAACAGTACCAACAACGTTTGGACAGAGGTCATTTCAAAATTCCTATCAGATCTGAAGATAAAAAATAAAAACAAATAAAAAAACGATAATTTCCTTTTGATTTTGGGATTAACTGCTCCTGGGTCACACTTTAAGTTCAAAACGGCCAAAAAAAACACTTAATGGTAACATCCTCGTCGTCCAAGTTCAAAACGGCAAAAAAAACACTTAATGGCAACATCCTCGTCATCCAAGTTCAAAT